GTTTAAAAATGGGAGTTTGATTAAAAGCAGGTGGAAATTAACTTGTGTAATTCTGGAGTGAGACTATACATGACAAATAAAAACCAAATCCGAAATCTATGCTACAGTTGGGTTTTGTTGGAAGAATTATCCCTTGTGTGATTTTTGCAGTGTTGGGGTGGTGTTATTTTAAGCTATTTTACTCTGATAATAGACATCTCCAAAACCTTTAAAATGGAGACAGAAAAGAGCTGTTCCATTAAACAATCCACACTGTTTTAAATTAAATGAGCTGCCTGTATTGGCGGGGGGAACGATTAGACATCCTTCTCTGCATTTCCTCACAGAGTGCACCTAAGCCTGCTGTTGAAAAACATCACATGCATTTTGATATGAACTGCAATCATAAAAGAATCTAATATGTACTTTCACAGAAAAGTCTTCACAGCACGCTATAAAGCTAGCCACTGATTTCTTAGTCAAAAAGTCTGGTGTACCAGACAGTGAGACTGCACCGTTTCCACATACAGAAAGTTACTGTCATCACCTCAAAGCTTCAAAACTGAAGTCTGCAAAATGCTCCAAAATGCTCCTGCATTAATTTCCTTTTGTAAGCTTATGAAGAAGTGACCTTTCATTTTAGTTCCTCAGCTGGAAAAATTACTTTCCCTGCAATGCAGAGTTTTGCAAGACATAGTATTTGCAAACACTGAGATCCACTGGCATTACTCCTATTCCACAAACTACATGTCAAATAAGGAACTACATGCCAAATAAGAACTTAATATTTAAATTTCACATGTATTTTGCACTGCAAGTCCCCTGCAGAAGTAACAATGCTTCCAAGCTGATTGACTCAGGCTAACTCTAGTAATTAATCCAGACAGAGAGGACATGATGCCACCCACAGCTTTAGCTTTTCATTCAATCCATTTTTGGGGGAACGCAAGATGCATTCGTCCAGCTGTCCCATCTCAGGTGAGCCTCTAAGCAGCTGACAAGAAGGAAGACTGGCTTTAATGAATCACAGCATAGTGATGTGAAAGTTTAGACAACTGCCTTAGCAAGCAGTATTACTACCAGAAAACTTAGAACTAAAACACCATTCCAGTCTTTTTCAAGGGCAAGCCTTTAGAATCAGAACCTCTACTACACTTACATTATCGAGAATGCTCGGAAAGCCTTACTTCCTAACTGATCAAGTGGATTCTTCAGCAGAAACCACCCCCTCCACCAGACGTGTGGGCAGCATCCATACTGTCACGTTCACCAACTATGAGTTGTGTTATATCATATGTGATACTGTTCTAAGACAGTATCCATGGATACCTACATTGGGTCTGAGGACAAAAAAACCCCGTAAGTAGCCTTGGACAAAAATCCTAGGGCAGCCTTGGCAGTCTGGCAAAATCCTAGAGCAGGCAGTCAGATCTAGGAAAGCAGGGAAATTTGCTACTAATACAGTTTCAGACCTTCCGAGGGGTAAAACATTTGACTAAATGGGCCTGCGCTTCTCCCCTCCACAGCTTTCTCCTCAAAAGAAAGAAAAAAACCCAAGATTAAGTCTGTACTTCTCTACCACAGCAGAGAATTAGCAGAGGGCTAGAATATTCTGTTGTCAACCAGGATTTGAAGGATATTTCAAAAAAAAAAAAAAATCACCTAAATGCTAAGAGTGGGATCTATCTCATCCAGCTTTAAATGTTTGCACTGCAGACATTTAAGCTCATCAGCCAGATTTCCTTAACAGTCAGCAGAAGAACTAGCCACTTTAAGGCATGATTTGTCTCATCTTAAAATAGACAGAAAATTATGTCAGATGAGTCTGTAATGAGACTCATGAGATTTACATCTGAGCTAGTCATCTAAAGCCAGGTGAAATGAAGTCCCATCTGAGGACTTCAGGTACTTGATTTGTCCATACAATGTCTGTATGGGAGCACGTTAGCCCTTGTCACGTGAATTCTTGCAAGCAGGGTCAAGCATACTGACACAACCATGTCTCAACTTACTCACATGTAGGTCTGCTGTCACGACTGATCTTATCATTGAGTATGCATCTCAACATCTAACTGCAAATATTCACTGTCTCATTGCAAATCAAGAAGCACAAATTATATATTTTGTTTCTAATGAGATGAAAGATGATGCATTTTTTGTTATTTGGAACTTACAGTTAACAGCAAGAAAAAGCAGGACTTTATTTAGACCTGCTCTTGATAAGCCAGTAATCCAAGCCCGGGTAGACCTAGGGTTCCTACTACCTTAGGCACGTTGGACATTGCTGTTATTACCAGATGGGTTGCCATTATCTTAAGACACATTTGCTACTATTGCCAGATACTTGGCGCATGTTCAGTTGAGCCCACAGAGTGCTGAGGTCCGCTCCTTACATGGATAAATTTGAAATGAGTATTTTATGGTACTTTAACCAACCCCCCCCCCCGAAAAAAATCACACTGAAGGCTTTAGGTTAACATAAAATGATGCAACTCTTCCCACATAGCAACCACAACTCCACACTTAATCTTAAGGCCCTAAAATTAGTGGCCACTGCTGCATCTTTCAGCTGTCTTTCTGTTGCTTCTGGTGTCATGCTCTGCTCTTCTGCCAAGAGTCTGGCAGAAGCACCATGTTCTCCAGATCTGAATTTATTTGGTTGTTCAAAACCAACAGGCTATGACTCCTTCCTGAAGAAGTTACTTGCTGGAGTGTGTCTTTTATTTTCCAGAGTATTCTTGGCCAGAATTCCTTGGACAACTGAATGTTTTGAACTTAAGGAAGACAGGCTTGAATAAAAGTATTTCGTATCAGGATTTATAGAAATTCCTCAAAAAAAAAATTAAAAAATAGTGTTTGGCAATGAGTATTTCCTTGGACTAGAAAGAGTTCTTAGGAGGCAAGGAAGCATAATACATTTGAGTCTGCAAATTCAGGTTTATTTTAGATTCTGGCATCAAAAGTGGTATGGTATTCAACAGAAAGACTTCTCCCACCTTCACGTGGAAAGCAGCTCTAATGGCTAGCATCTCTAAAAAGGAGGTATCCAGCCTGGCTGCAGAAGTTCAATAGCTATCCTGGTCCCAGTGCAGCAAGATCATGGCTCTAAGGGTTCTTTAGTCTCTTCAAAACACAATATACATACTTTAAGAGCAAAAATTTTGCTTGACCTCAGAGAAATAAGAGGTATGAGCTGCTAATGATGGCACAGCAATTTTTTTCCCCTCAAGTTAAAACAGTAATGCAAAATTCTTATTTGTACCAAGGATTCTTCCAACACAGGTGTGTCATTCCTTCAGGGCAGGAATTGACATCAGCAGAAATATTTCTATCGCTGAATATTGTAAGGCTGAAATCTTGCCCTGAAGTACATTATATTTTTTAACTCATTCACACAAAACAAAGCTTGAAGGGCTTATCCTTTGATAGCATCTTGCAAAAGGACACGGACTTCATCTTCAAATCACCTTGTGCTTTTTCAATTCACCTTTGGCAGCTCAGACTGACAAGTTTACTGTCATATGGATAGCACCAATGGTCCACACCATTTCCTTGTTCTTACATATTTCTCTGCCAACATACAGAAGGCAATGCATCATTTGCATTGTGCATATCATATTGGAGAGTTTGAACAACTACGATGAGAAACCCCAAACAATTGATCAATATAGTTTTCTGTGAAGGACTGAAATTGAGTCTTGCAAGGCTGGACTTCAAAGGTGAAGAATTAAAGGCAATTTGAGCATATGCTCTGTACATTGGTTCATCCAAGTTAGCAAATGCGTTGACTCAAAGGAAAATGTCTATTTTAAGACTGAAAAACTACAGGTTTTTGAAGATTTGCTAATCTGCCATTGTAAATGCCTTGAAGAGGCAGACTCTTTAGGACAGCTGTGATGACAGGCAACAATCAAGATGAAAATTGCTGAGTCCAAAACATTAATTTTAAGACACTAAAGAACACCCAGAAAAACTTTAAATACCAGACTCTACTGATTATATCAACTAGAGTGCTGGACATGTAAGTTTTATCCATCTGCAACAAAGAGAAAGAAGCAAAAGACTTGGACCAACTGTCTTCTGTGCTCTCTTACAGAGCACAATGGGACTACAGTCACCTACCTACTCCAGGAACAAAAAAAAAAAGCTCATTTTTGGGGCAAAGAGCCCATGAGATACTTGAACACATTCAACACTTGTTTCTCCATCCTTAGTGACTTAAATCTTAAAATCATTTGAATTATAAACCCTGCATGTGTGGCCACTTAAAAATAGATCTTTTCTCTTCTTGCAAGTCGACAGTCTGTCAGGGTTTTTAAGACTGGGCACCCCATCCGCTCAAACCTATGCCACGGTGGCTGACCTATACAAGAAAGGAATCCAGGTTATGAGCAGACCTCCCTACCAGATGCCTCATTGTGCAATTCCAACACTCTTCTGTATTATGCTTACCTCACTCATCTAAAATAAGCCAGCGAATCCTCAGGAGTAGAGAGCAATTGAGTCGTTCAAAAGCAACAGCCCCAGACTGCTCTCTGCAGTAATCCTCCAGTGAGGGGTTGAGCCACTTTCATTGCAAAAGCAACATCTTCAGATGCAATGCAACAAGTTTACTTTTAGGGATATCTAAACTCATTTTTATCTGGTGCAGTACACAACAGATGGGCTCCAGTGTCCAAGGGAAAAAACAAATGTGTGACAGTAAGATGACTGCCGATATCCCTGGGTTCAAATGGCGATCAACTGTTTCACTTTCTACATTGCTGGAAGCTGGTAGTATTATCAAAATAACACCAATACCTCGTATCACTCCTCCAAAACAGAAATAATACATAACCCTATTATTTTTATTAAAAAAAAAAAATCACTACTGTATGTCAAATCATAAATATGCTAAAGGTGTAAGTGAAATCTGAGACAGTCTCAAAATGTGTTTAAATTGACAGATGTTAAATGTAAAAATGTAGTGCAAAGTTTCTCATAATGCATCTAGGAAAAGCCATTTATTTCTAGGCCAACATTTACCTCTTTTTGGAGCTGCGTTCTCGGCTTCTCTCCCTGGAACTATGCCTGCTTCTATGATGGCTGCGACTCCGGCTGCGGCTGTTAGAACGAGACCTGTGACGATGGCGTTTCTCACGGGATTTGGAGCGAGTTCTTCTCTTTCGTTCCCGGGAGGCTGAGCGAGACCGATGCCTACGGCGATCTCGGGACCTAGATCTAGGAACAGAAAGGACTTAAACCAGACACTGCATTCAACTAGCTACCCTATTAGTGTACTCTGAGTATTACACACTCTACACATAAGTGAATCTGTACACAGAATGGTCTGCAGTGTTCAGAGCTACCGCATCGTCCTATCACAGGCAAAAAGGGAGGGGAAAACAACACTAGAAATCCTACAAACCCCTTTGTGAGTAATGCAGACAATTTTACAGTTAATTCATGACCATATGTATGGCTACACCATAGCCAATTCAGGCTTCTGAAAGGAATTAAAAATATGGAAAAAAATCTACTTTTAAAAATTTAAAAATCTTGTCTTTATCAGGCAAAGTTTTAGAACTTCATGATGCAGTGATAGGGATCATCTGCCAGAACCTATCTATTATCACGTTCTGAGAAACCAGGACTATATCCTTCCCCATAGCTACTACAATAAAACTAGTCTGGAAGGTTCTACACACCACACAATTTCTTTTTTTTTTTTTTTTTTTTTTTTTAAATTGCTTTGCAATAATATCTCACTGGTGACCTTCAGCTGTGTAGGTTAGGAAGAAAACTCATATTGGGTCATCTGATGTGTCATCTGTTGAGAATTAACCTGGTGCTTAGGATTTTAAAAACATGGGTTTTCACCAAAAGCTATTAACCACAAGCTTTTGTTTTGAAGAAAGAGCAGTTCTCCCTGTGTTCTAAGCATTATTTGGGACAAAAGATTGCCTTGTAGTAACGACAAACCAGGCAAACATGTATAAACTCAGAAGCATGGCAATAAATACTGTGTAAACACACAGAGAGATGACTGTGTAACTGAATGCTTTGTCTGCAAGATGGACAACTTAAACTAATAGTGCTAGACAAACTTAAAATGTTCCAGCTTTTGAAAGGCTGGCTTCACTGATGGTATTCCTTGTCTTCAGATTTCTATACCTTTTGGTATGCTTGCTGTGGGATCTGGACCTGAAATAAATGGAAAATAGTACATCAGTTTTTCTTACAGAATCTTATTATCAAGTAAAGTACAATTTAATAATAATAAACCAAACTAGTCGACCTGTTATTGTATTTCTTATTTTACTAGCAATTATTTAAAGGCCTTTTATTTGATGTTAATGTCTTTGTAACATATTTACCAGGAAACATATCCCTCTAACAACTGTTTTGTGTTTGTTGGTTTTTTATTTATTTTTGATCCCACCACACTACAAACCCAAAAGAGTATCTAGTCTACTTTTTTATTTCCACTCCTCCCAGATCAAAATCTTACAGTTCAAGTCAGTACTCCCTTACTTCTTGTCAGGTATGTATTATCAGACTGCAACAGATTTCAAAATTTACATTGTTAACCTCTGAAGCAGACATGTCAAGAGAAATGCAGTTCAGATTCTATTGAACTCTAGCCCCACAAGTCTTGGAAGCAACTATTTCATAGAAGAGGGAATTACTTTCCTTGGTCATATGTTCAACTACTTCCAATAACGAAAACTTCTAACATCTATAAAGAAAATATCTAACACCTAACATGTTAGAAACTCACATGTGTGCAAGCTGACATTGTCAGGTCTCAAACAAGGTACACACCTGAAAATTATCTCATTGAAAGGCCATTTGTTCAAGTATGTAGAGACACTTCTATCTGTAGTTTTTAAAAAGGCTTTCTATGAAAACAATTCTGGTTTTAAGAATTAGACATGAAATTCACTCTCAATCCTTGTAAGTTTCTAAGGAAAGCAGACTGTTGTGATTCTGCAGATTTAAAAATCATAAACATCATAGTTTTCCCATTAAGCTTAAATAGGTCATCACGTATATGCAATTAAAATAGATCCCTACCTCCTTAGTTTCTCCCTTTCTTCTCTTTCCCTCTCCTCTCTGCGTTTCAGACGCTCTTGATTTCGTTTCTCCTGTTTATCAGCCACAATCCTCTAAAAGCAAAGGAATATATTCATTAAGTTACATTTCAAAATTTCTCAGATGAAGGTGCTACAAAAATAACCTAGACAGTTAAAATTCAGTTCTTTCTCTCATGTATATTCCCTCTCCCTTGTGTATATTATTCCCTCTCTCTTCCTCAGCATATATATATTTTTTTTTCTCCAAGAAACAGAAGTTATTGCAGAAGAGCTGCAGCAAATAGATGGGTGTTACACGAAGACCTGAAATATATAGAATTAAATTAAGTTTTCCACAAAGGGGAACTCAGAGCAGTAAGTCATGCCTTTAATGTGAGAGCTTCCATGCCAATCCTATCATATTTTATCCACTGGAGAAAGGTAGGAAGGAATCAGAACTAGGAGAGTTAATTGTTTTATTAACTCCTTCAGCTACGCTGTTATGTAAAGAAATCCTTAGCCTTAAAAGGACTTTGTTGGGCTGATACCTAGTTTTGAGGCTACTTGTTTCTGTACTGTGAACATGAGACACATAATTAGAGATGATGCTTCAGCTGATAGCCCCCAGGTTGAACTCACTACTACTGGGGACAAGGCACGCTCAGTAGAGGGCCCTCAGATGTGGAACTCACAACTGGAGATCTGGCCAAACCCAAGTCTTGCCACCTTCTGGACATGATGCAAGAAATTCAACTCTTTGTAAAGACCTTCTTCTGAGATGTGGAATTGCCCCAGCAGCATCTTGATTAGATCTCTGAGGAGAGCTCTGAGGAAGGAGGGGATAGTTATTGTTTTCTTTTTTTGTTAGCGAAGTACTTCAAAAGATTATTTTATTGATGTTTTGGGAATGTGAAATAGTTATCCATGCATTTTTTTTTTTCCAAATGATGGAAATAATCAGTTATTTCAACTCTCTATGTCAAATTATATCTAGACTTCCTTGTACAGTATCAGTAATTTAACTACAACCAAGGTTTCTTGTTCAAGTGACTCTGCATAATTTCACGGAGGGATGAGAGGAAGCACACATGATCTATTCTAGGTATCTAAGATTTAAGTTACAGCAGCTATACTTAGGAGCCTAAATTGCCAATACAGTTAACGGAAAGAGTTGGGCTTTCCAAAGGTTAAGTCACAGTATTCATGCAAGACAGGTGGAATATTATGAAATATAAACCAAGCCAATTTACCCAAACTCAGTAGCAGCATTCAACTCATTTAGCTATCGTCTTTAGTGATTTCTACAGCTAAATGCTTAATTGAGCCTTGAACTCCATAATTCGCATATTAAGATCATAAATGGCATCAGTGTGCAAATCCATCCTCTTGAATACCAAAAGTCTAGAATATAATTCCAGTAAGTCTTTCTTCCAGCACATGGTTTCTGGTCAAGACAGTGTTGTTTAGGATAATATTCCAGTGGGATTTCAAATCTTTAAGCTATAGAGAACATGCAACCTCTCCGTAACAATTATTTTAATAGCTAGCCTGACTTCAAGATACACATCTTTTTGTATTCTGACTTTGGACAGCTACAACTTTGAGTTCTCAGAACTTATTTATTTCATCTGTTGTCAGTTAAGCTTATAAGCCTTCAAAAATGACTTAAAAAAGAAATCTTCTTTAGTTGTTGGTATCTATAAAATGAAAGTCACCTCCTAATCTTTGTCCAGATAAAATAAACAAATTGAATTTTAGTCTTTCACCATACAGCAGGTTGTTTGAGCTCCAAGCATTTCTGCAGATCTTTTTTGGAAAACTTTGCCATGTGTTATCATCCTCCTTATGTATGGGTACCAAAAATGAGGATTCCAACACCAGCCCTATTAACATTTTATCCTAATTAAGATATCACTCACTCAGGCCCACTACATGTTCTTGTATTTTCAAGAGTCTCATTATTACTTTTAGCCAATCAACTGGCTAAAAGTAAAGTTCATTTGGCTACCTCTTGTGACGGCTAAATATGTTTCAACATCACTGTCGTTCAAAATACAGTTCTCCACTTTACAAGTGGAATTGCACTCTTTGTTCCTAAAATGCATTACTTTGAACATGTGTTTTAATATGCCTCAGTGCAAAAAGAGGTCATCTTATCAAATTATCCAGATAACTGATATTAAATTAGAAGGTTTAGTATTTTATAGACTAATGAAATCCCAAATTTTAAAGTAAAATGAAAAAAATTCACACACCCAGAAAGAAATATTCCATTAAGGTTGCCTGGCAAATAATTAAGTAGGAGTGCACACATATACACAGACAAAAATATAAGAATGATTTACCCTGAGCTCCTCAAGCTTCTCTCTTATTTCAATAAATCCTAAATGTAGTTTTCCTCCAAAGTGGTCAGCAAGTCGTCGGTCATTGTCATGAAGACCAAGATAAGCTGAGCACACTTCACAAACCCGTAGCTTCTGCTGCTGAAAGCTGGAGGCAGGCATAGAATTCCTGTATACTTCCTAGAAAAAACAATATGCTAACTGTTACTTCTCAATGCACAGAAATACAAAGATGGCACTTTACCAAAGATATACTACAAATTGATAACAGAATTCAATGTGCACCAGCACACCCTTTACTTAATCCACACTGTAATACATCAAATGTCTCAAGACAGGCTCCTTATTTTGAAGATTGGACATATTTAAAAGCAGGACATCAAAACCTGGTTTTGCAAATTAAGCAAAGTGGGGTGATTATTACCTTTACTTAAGATCACACTACTAAGAAGGATGAACAACTTTTTCATATGCAACAATGAATACACATTAACACTACAATTACTATCTTAACACGTTATGAAAATATTACACCACTTTTAATTCTGAACCCCATTTAAAAATAGTAGTAGTTTCCTGAGAAACCTACCTGCAGTTTAGACACTAATTAAACAAGTTATCTGAAGGAAATTTATCTACAGACACTCAGACGACAGACAAGCAAGACTGCCAGCAACTGCTCTGGTACCATTAAAACAACTGCAGATGCTTGTTTCTATAAATTTAAATATCTTGGTGAAATATGATATGGAAAAGCTCTTGGTGAGTTCTGCCACCTGAACATTACAACAAGGACCATTTTGACTTGCCTGATACACAAGCCATTGACTAATTATCTTTCAGTGAAGACAACAGTTCACTTCACTGAAGTTTTCCAGTACAAGCCACGTTAGGACACCATGAGGCACAACGGAGTAGCCACAGCAAGAGCAAGACCCAACAAGTTAAGTCAGTCTGACAAACACAGACACAACTGTACTGTCCACAGATACAACTGGCCAATACAGCTAAACCAAGATAAATACATCATCCATGGAAGTGAGTATAGTTTTAATAGTATAGGATTGTATTTAAAGGTAGAAACTTTAACTGCACAGGACGCCGCAAAGCAAATTCTTTAGTTTTATACGAAGCAATTAGCTGAGGAAGTGACAGCAGATAAGACACCTTGCTTCACACAGATGCCAACCAATTTAATATTGGACCCTGCCCTCTCCATCCCCCAAGCCTTACACAATCAACTTACTTCTGCTTCTCTCTTCTTTACCCGAGCCTTCTCCACTTCGTCCATTACTTTTTGAGATTCTTCCACATTCCCATCAGCTCCAAGCTGTTCTACTTTGGCCAGCAGTTTCCCAATTTCTTCATTCAATTCATGAACCCTTTCAGCCTTGAAAGACAAGGAAAGGCTTAACACAGGAAATAGTTTTAATTACGGAAAGCAATCTGATCTACTACTGAGTTACTATATGCAAAATCAGTAGGACAGAATTAAGAGAAACAGGCAGAGATAACTTCTGCAAGTAGAAGAGAAACAGGTGTTTCCTCATGTAAAAGCACACAGAGAATAGCTGAGTTATCAAGTCTATGTGCCAACTCCAGAGCAGGATTTTGTACAGAAACTTCAAGCAATTCACACTGTTGTCTATACCACACAGTCTTGCAAAATGAATATTCATACAACCATGCCTCCTAGTATGTGCATACCTACACAGAAAAATTATGTTTTTTTCAGTTAGAAGATCTAGAGAAAAGCACATCAATTTTGTTTACTCTAAGTTTTGATCAAAAAGGAATCACTAACACTTGTATGGCATAGTATGACAGAGTCAAGTTTCCTGAGCTCAAAAATATCGGGGAGGTCTCTTCCCTGTATTCTCCTCTCCATGCTTTAAAGGCAGTTTTGGGAAGCATAGAGAAAACGTCATCTTTTTTTCCCCTACTCAGTACAAATTATCAGATTGGATAGCTTGACAAAGCCTTAAGTTGGCTCCTTAGAAAAAAACGGACCTTCAAAGAGAGTTAAGTAACTAGTTTTACATGCTTACTTTAGCTGCAACTTCAGCACTGATCTCTTCTTGGGTTTCTGCTAGCCTTTTCTTAGCCACTTCCGTTCTCCTGTCACAGTCTGCAATAAATGACTGCAGGTGGTCCATTGCCTAAAACAGCAATAAAAACAGTGATCGGTGCTGTCAAGAACATGAATATTTCATTACCCTTAGTATTTTCCAGGTTTATTAAGACTTAACTTTTATAAGTTTTTATTAGTGAAGCCTTTGTAAAACAATAATCTAGCACTTTTGGGTGACTAATCACATGTACTACTATATGACTTTTTAAAAACATAGTCTACACGTTAGTTGCAAAATTTGGAAGTGAATCTGCCTTAAGTCTTCTCTGAATAAGTGAGCATTTCTAACATGCATTAAAATTCTTTGAAGGATATTCAGGTTCACCTCACCCAGCCAATACATGCAATACCATAACTTTTTTCAATAGGGTTTTAAGCTATTAAGCATATTAACACTATCCCTCCAAACAACAACAAAAAACCCCAAACCTTTTTGTCCTAGTGAAGACTAACTTCCCAGTTGGAAGTTCAAAAGTGTATAACTCAAAACTATGGTGTACTGAAACATAGCATATGATTATTATCCTGAATACAAAACTTGTTTCTTCGATAAGCATTAGAATTTAAGACTCTCTTCAAAGCACAGACAGCCTTAACATTTGCTGGCTCTTTGGTAACACTAAGACAGCATCCAAGTTTATGATAATTTATTCTGTAGAAGGCTGTTAACAGTTCTACCTAGAGATGACTACCAACACAAATTAAATACTCGCATATGAGAGGCATGCATCTTTATGTAACTGTGCAAAGGTTTCTCTAACCCTTCCTATACTTTCCAAAAATTTGCCTTCTGTGTGTACCAGTTTCAGCTGAGACAGTTTTCTTTCTAGTAGCTGGCACAGTACTATGTTTTGGATTTAGTATGAGAAGAATGTTGATAACTCACTGATTTTAGTTGATAGCAAACTGTTTTAGCTGTTACTAAGTAGTGCTTAGACTAGTCAAGAACTTTTTCAGCTTCCCATGCTCTGCCAGGTGCACAAGAAGCTGGGAGGGGACACAGCCAGGACAGCTGACCCAAACTGGCCAAAGGAGTATTCCAGGCCATATGACGTCATGCTCAGCACATAAACTGGGGGAAGAAGGAGGAAGGGGGAGGCCGTTCGGAGTGATGGCCCTGCTCCAGGCTGAACACCTGCCCGCTGATTGGAAGTGGTGAATGAATTCCTTGTTTTGCTTTGCTTACATGTGTGGCTCTTGCTTTACCTATTAACTCATGGGTTGAGAAGATGACAGTTTTTCTCCCTTTTACTCTTCTGATTCTCTCCCCAATCCCATGGGGTGGGTGGGTGTGTGTAAACAAGCAAGCAGCTGTGTGATACTTAGTTGCTAGCTGGGGTTAAACCATGACAATACCAAAACTTAACTTCTGTTGCTCAGTTTATCCACCTATGTACACAAATTATGCTTTCTCTCCACCATTAAGACAAAATACATACATCAAGCTCAAAGAAGAAATCTTGATCTTTGGATGCTATTTCGTAGTCTGCCCTTAATGCCAGGTCATGCACCTTCAGACATTCTCCAAGGTCCATTCTCTGAAAAGAGACAGAAGCAAAGTGATATAACTTTTCAGAGGTGTTACAAATTAGGATGATTTTCTTCAACAGTCAAATATTCTGAAGCAAATCATCTCCCCTGTGGGAATGAAAGGACAGTTTAATAAAGCCATCAATACCAGGTATTTAACAAACATGCACAAATCAGGAAATAATAAAAGCGAACGGAATTAACAGCTTATCTTATCACAATGGCTGCTTGCATTACAGAGTATCATTGATGTCCTGCAAAAATGTTGTTTCTACTGAAAGTTCAAAAAAGTGACTGAAGTGGGACATCTTATATTGAATTAAAACAGCTTAGGAGAACCAAGTTCCCTGCAAATAACCAGCAATTAAATGGTCAAACGTTTGATCTGAACTGTCTGCACACTCTATGATATGTGCTCCAGCTACATTCATCACCTGAAATAGCTACAATCACAGTATCACTGTAAGTGCTGCTTAAAAACCATTCTTTAAGATCTTCAAGATAGCCAAAACCCAAATACCAGCAAAACATTTTGCAGATGAGTGAAAATGAGCTGAGTGTTGGACTATGTTCAAGAATCAGGGAAGAATAAGTATAGATATTTTACTTGTAATCTAAAGCCATTCTAGAATAAGCAGGAAGGAAACATGAACTTGTAACAGTAAGTAGACTGCATCACTGATCTTGTGTACAATGCCACTGAGTGCCCAGAATCTTATTAGGTAACAAATATGGTTTTTAAATTTAAATTCGCATACCACATAGCATGAGGAATTCTAATTCAATCTGTTCCCTGAAAGTTTATTTGGTGATCAAGACAGAGCAATGTGCATGTGACAAAAACCAACCCCAAACCAACAAAAAAAAACCCCAAACCAAAACAAAAACCCAACCCAAACAACCCCCCAAACCCCAATTTGTAATGGAAACAAAATTGAACAAAACCAAGGCACCCTCTCTGCAAAAGCATAGGCTGATATGTTATTTGATGTATATTATTTGCGTCACTTAAAACCAGCACAGTTTCAGTTAAGTCTGCTCTTGGCACTGCTCACCTAATATTAAGAAAAATGTATTCTTTCTTAACATTGAAAGCACATAATGAAACTTGAACTCTGATGGAAAAAGCTGTTACTGTTGTAGTTCAGTAACAGTTTTAGAACCAAAGCTAAAATAATTAATAAATTATATAAATTGTGAGTTTTATAAGTAAAAGATGAGTCTTAACTCAAACTGCTGCAAGTCACTTGGTATCTGAGCCAAATGAGTGCTTTTTTTAAATACAAAAAATACTTGTATTTAAGTAGCAATTCAAGCCCCACTAGTAAAAAAACCCAAGTATCAATTGCTTTCAACTTCTCAAATCATCAGTTAGATGTTCTAACAAATCCATTCAAGTAATTTTTACAGAAGTTGTTGGTTTATTTCAAATGTTAGAGACAGTAAACACATTGTTAAAATACAGAATTTTGAACTTGAACATTTTTGATACACTGTAGTTATTTAAATGCCCTTCAGACACCATAAATCTGTTTTCCGGAAAACATTTGATTGCAATAGAGACCATCTGATTGCAATGCTACAGAAAAAGATTAGCTTTTCCTTCTGCAACTACACAGGACCTCAGCAATTTTGTTAACTGATGCAAATCCACAAAGACCTTGAAACCGAACACTGTATTACACATGTTTATTTCCAAGTCATTAGATGCTGCATTATTTGAACCGAAGCATTCTTTCAGGAAACTACTTCAGTACTGGGGAAACAATATGAAAGAACATTTTAAAACTATCTGAAAATTAGACACTTAAAAATCCTCCTACAATTGTGAAAAGCTTGTCTTTATGCTGATTCATCACTTGTACCGATAAGGTATTTAAGCTTAAACTGTAGAACTCCAGCTCAGTCCTGTTTGAAGTGAAGCACTCCAGTTCTAAATGCCTAGATAAGGCTAATAACACACTTTAATAGATCTGACTACAATGACAACAAACCTGAAACATATCTACCATAGCATCAAAAAAAAAATGCTATTTTAATATGCAATCTACATATACTTTGAATAAATGGATGAAATAAACTTCCATCACACTCAAAAAAAAAAAAAAAAAAAGAATTCACATTACACTACCATGACACACTGTTCACTTCACATGTGTTTTACACTTCTTTTGCCTTTATTCGGGTTAGATTTGCCCTCCTCAAGACAGTACATTTTCTGATTTCTTCTTACTGGGAATTGTAAATCCATAAGCCTGAAAGGATGGTAATTGCCCTGAGCCAGAATTACTACTGAAAAATTTTCTGTCCTCCTTTTTTCCACTGCGCTGTGCCATCCCATGCTGGCACATCTGCCTGTGTAGTTGAACACAATCTGGGTACTGACCAGGTAAAACGTATCTTAGCAAGACAAAAACAGAGGCAATTTTTCAGCATTGTACCTTTGCCCAACTTGTCAGGCAGCCACACAAACAGATATGCTGACAATACGTAGGGGTCAACAGAATAGTGGACTTAATCAACTAGCATCTCTTACACTATCAAGATGCCACTTCAGAACTCTTGAATAACTTCAGTAACATTAGTGGCAATTTTGGGGGATGAAAGGGAGGATTTATGGAAGATTAATTTTTGTTAAGATGTCTCAATCAGAAGACAGGAAATTTTGGCTCCCCTCCCCCTCTTTGATCCAACAGAGCGCAGCCTTATAAATACTCACGTGGCATAACAGACAGGGAGCAAGAACAAGCAGGTACAAGAGAAAAGATTCTTTTTCATTAGCTTTGCTGCTAAAGAAATTATATCGTCGTTGGAACTGCTCCTTAACACAGACTATACTAGTCTTGGCTAATCCTTTGAAAGCACCTTCACAGAAATATTACTAGTAAATGTCTTTCTTAAAAGTTCTATTAGCAAATCCCACTGTAGAGACATTAAAAAAACCACATTTAAAACTCTTAAACCAGTTTGCATATTATACGCAAAATCAGGCTAAAAAGCCCTTCTGCTGGTGTAAGTTATGCAACATTAGGCAGACAATTCATCATGGGGATGATTCACTACTGTTAAAAGTCTGTGCTGGATCAACATTGCGGAGGACCTTAATAAGCACAGAGCAGCTCGTATTATAATTTGGCTCATATGGCTAGCTGCAAAGTATATGGACAGCAGATGGAAATGGACAGAAGATACAGTAAGACATATTATTTTAGTTTTCCACATGTCTACCTTGCGATCTGGTGCCAAGACATGCCCTCCCCCAGAGACAAAGAACAAGCATTGATAGTCAGCCATTTGAAGATCAATCATATTTAAAACAGGAGATGGCTATGAGGGAGAGTAATGTTCAGACATTGGGCTACTAATGAAGGCTTAAAAAGAACACACATAATCTGTTTTTCACTGTCAATACACTGACTTTCAGACAGACTTACACTACTTAAAGTGATTTACAGAGCAGTCCTGATGAGTAAAGCAAATAAAGAAAGGTGAGAACATCCAAGTCCCCAGGCTAGACATAACTAAAGTTTATTGAATATGTGAAGCCATGCCTTGAGGCTTTTTGCAGTTACTGCACTTTTACTGAAGATTAAAACCAGAAAATCCCTACATATTTGGTGAATCTTTCTTACAAGTGAAAACTATTCAGCGCTGAAGATTAGTCTAGAAAATAGTCTAGGCAACAACATACGAAGCAGGATATAAGGAGTCCTTTTGCTATTGCTGAGCTCTGCTTAAGAAACCAGTGCCTTCTACTAACAACTTGCTAACCGTATACTTTTTTTATTTTTTCAGTGTTAGATGGGCAATTAAAGCTACCAGGGCTGAGGTTTTTTTCATCCCAGACAACCTCATACTGAAATGATTTAGTTATCATTTTTGTCATGCCATCCACAAAATGCATAGAATGCCTTTGGTATTAATACCAGAACATGGATTACATACATTTAGTTAACAATGATGCATAGCTCTGCTTCAATCAAATCGGATGAACACCCGACTCAATCATCACACAAGTTAAGTATGAATAGACAAGGAAGATCTGGCTGAGGACTTCGCCAACAGAGAATCTGAAGAGCCTGCCTGTAAAGTAAATGTTAGGGTCAGCTACTCTGGGTGCACAACCGAACCACAGACTGAACTCTGATGTGATGCTGTTTCTAGATCATGAAATGAAGACAACTTTGTTTTCAGATCTTGAGCTACCTACAGCAAAATTCCCATTTTGGCACTTTTACAACTACTACACATTCCTTTAACATCGGAGATTAGATTATTGAATGTACCCTATATGGCGTGCAAAAAGAGCACAGAAATGCCAAAGCCACTTAAAATACAGAAGGCTGACGTCGAGCCAAGTGTGACATAGTAGCACACACTATCAATGCTTCTAAAAACAGCATGCATTTTTGATAGGTTTTGAAAGAAGATACTCTGGGCAGTGTTTTATGTAGAGAATTCTTTATATAACTATTCTAGCTATAAAGATACCCATACCAAAGCAGTTCACATTCAGCAAAAGAAGGTTTTTTTGTTTGCTTGCTTAGGAAGATGTGACATGACTGAAAAATTTATATTGGAGGAACCAGATCTCTCCCTTTATCAAATTGTCAATGCAACTACTAGGGTCTGTATGAGAACACCCTTGCTACTGCAGATTGACTCTTTGCCGAGATCTTCCTTATTATGGAACTCGCTTTTCATCTGCACTAACAATTTTGTTTCTGACAGATTTCAAGACTTGTGATGAAGCCCATCCTTTCTTGTAGGCAACAAACGTTCAGAAGGGAAGCCTTTACGATGAGATAATAATGCATGATTTAAGTCCTCTGACTTCATTAATGGGGTTAACATTTTTAGGACTTCACTTGCAGGAAAGAAATGCTGAGCTAAAAAGAGGCAGAAATTAAATCATTAAAGTCCTTAGCAACCATTGAAAATTCCACATATCTTCAGAAGTATCATATTACTTTAAAGACATTTCTCCCTTTAACTGTACTCTCACTTC